AAATATCACATGAACCAACTGAATATGAACTTTGGGTGAATTTAATTAAGGACAAGTTAAATGGAGTGGAAAAGAGGGACAGGCAAAAGTATAAAGCGGATTTTTCTTAGTTATTCACAAAATAAGAGCTTGACAGAAGAGGTGTATATTTTTTCATGTTTTGCCAATGAAATTTGGATTAGCACTTGCTCATTTGGACCCGGCTCTCTCTGCTGACTGTGAAGGTAATTGCCTAACCGACTATAACCAAACACTGAAATCCCACTCTCCCTGGCATGCAATGTTCAATGCTTTCATCACCTTCTAAGAAAGTCAATCTTAAAATATGCTGTGATCAGTTTAGAGTAAGCAGCAACATTTTAAGTCATTGTTGCCTATTAACACTGTTGGGGGTCAGAACATGATACCCCAAAGTATTGAACACAGGCATGCTGAGTACTTTGAACCAAAGGAGATTGGAAGGCCTCAGAACCAAGGTCTTTCTGATCTTCTCCCCTTCTTCTAAATCCCCTGATTTGATTCATGGAAACTAGAACTCCCCTCCCCAGAAGCAAGCCATAAAACCTAGAAAGGTCACTCTCCCTCTTCTCTCTTCTCTCTTGAAGACCTTAATTCTGAGAGGTCCTGTCCCATACCTGTGAGAGAATAATGCCACACAGAGGGGCCAACAGTCTGAACAGACAGGCCTTGCTGGTTTCCCCCTCAGTGTGTTACCATTAGATTGTATGCTTTTTGTCCAAATTTCTAAATGCCTGTTCTTTCTTCATTAAACCTAAGCATAAAAAAATAGACAGTTTTCCCTGAGTCTTTGCATCTTCATTTCTGAAGACTCTCGTGTCATGCAAAACATTGATTAAATAAACTTGTTTTGTTTTTCTCATACTGATCTGTCTTCTGTTATAGGAGTGTCAGCTGTGACCCTTATGATGGGTGAGGAAAGGCACTGCCCCTGTAGGGGACTGACATATATTTTCCTAGTTTAAGAATTAAAGTTAGTGAGTAATGTACGTGTTCTGCCCAGAGTGTTTGAAAGTAATCTGTTCTGGACAAGGTCCTTGTGATAAACAAGGCTGTTGCCTAGAGGCATAACAAAGAACCTGAGCTGTAAGTAAGCAAGCTGAGCTACCCCGTCCCATGGCATTGGGGGTCTGGAGGCCACACGATAAACACCCCATAAGATGGCTGGTTAGTCAATGATGGGTAAGACCCCTCAAGGGAGGGGTGACCTAAGCCAGGCACAGCCGCCGGGGTTCAGCTGAAGATCTTAGGGAATCACTCTAAGAAAAGCTGGGAATGAGAAATGCCCCCCCCCCCTTATCTATGCCTAGTGGCTATAGCAACCACCTTGAAATTCTGAGTCAGGGGATATCTGCTTCCCTAAGGCTACGCATTCCGGAATTTATGGCTAATGCTGGCAAGCCTGGGTGGTTATGTACAAGGAACTAACTTTAATCTTTTAGAGTATAAAAATAAAACTGACCCAGTGTATTAGTACTCAAGTCAACCGTTTGTATGTGTGTCTGCATTTTTCTTTGTGTTCTGTGTTTGTGTTTTATATTCTGTGTTCATCCTCCGTCCTGTAAACGGGCCATGATACTGTCCCACAATGCCTCTGTGTCTCAGATGAGCCAGGATGTCACCTGGAAGAGCCCAGAGAGGATGGGACAAAGGACTAACATTATTTGATGAGGAAGCCAGGAAAGACAGGTGAGGTGGGGAGAAAAGCATGAGAACCCAGGTGCCCAAACAAAGGAGGAGTTATGAGTATGAACCAAATCTGCTTCACATGTGTGCAAAGTTATGATCTTAGCTCTTAGCTAAGTTTTCTTTTCTTTTCTTTTTAAGGCTTTATGCCAGAGCCAAATCTGGCCCAGCATATGTTTTTGTAAATGAAGTTTTATTGGAACACACCAGGCCCCTTTCATTTACCTAACATCTGTGACTACTTTCTTGTTATTTCAGCAGAGTGAAGTTTGTGACCAAGACCATGTGGCCTCAAAGCCTGAGCTGTATGCTGATTGGCTCTTTATAGAAAACAAGTTTGCTGGCCCTAGAAATGGCTGTGGCTACATTTTGCTGAGATTGGCCTTGAAAATGCAGACACTGCTGAATGTGCCCCACACTGCATCTGGCGTTCAGCTTCTTGACTCTCTTTGATGTGTGTAAAAATACAGAAGCTGGGCCTCCACCAAGGGTCTAATGAAGCAGAGGGAATGTCCCATGGGCAGCAATTTCTCACTGCCTAGGGTCACCTCCAAGTATGGGTATCAGAGACTAGTCGGTGACTAATGGAAAGAGAGAGAAAAGAGATGAGGCCAGATGAAACTTTACTCCTCCTAAGAGTTCTCTAGAGTCTTTCTACATTTGTACTTCTGGAGGACAGAATTCTGCCTGCCAGTATTTAGCGAATTGAATTTTGTCCTTAGAGAGGTGCACACTGCTCCCATTGACTTCTATGGGAGTAATGGGCCATTTGGTCCCACGACATCTGTGCTGGCTTCAGGCTATTTAACAAACTCCTAAACAAATCCCAATAAAGTGCTCTTTAATGGGTACTTAATTCTGATGTGGGGGTGGGTGCTGAGCACACCTAAGTCCTTTCTTTTCCTTCAGGTTTACTAAGTTTCCTTCTTTTTATGGTGTGATAATTACTGCAGCCAAGAGCCCTGAGTCAAGTAGTATTAAACCCATGCAAAGTCACAAGATGTCTCCTCTTATTGATCTCAGTTGACCTGTTTACTCTCTGGGTTCCAATTTAATGGCTCAATTGATTATTCATTTACATTTTTAATGTCTTTGTGGGCAAAATCATTTTAAGATGAATCGTCTCTAACTTAATGGGCGACACACACGATCATTTTGGATTTCCATTTTCAACAAGTACTCACTGAGCTCGGGTGAATTTAACAGGGATGAAAAGGACATTTGAGCTTCTGGTAAAGGGTGATAGAAATGATAGTTTGATTTGTCTGCTTTGTAAATGGCCATCACAGATGTGTGTGGCTCATCTGATGTCAGAGGGTGGTTAGGATATCAACTTTTCTGTTACCTACTTACTAATTATATTTTGTCTAAGTACAATTTGAAATCTATAAGGCCCACATCTTTAGTTGAACCATTTCTTAAATTAAATCCAGAAGTTTCAATACTATTCATTGATTTGTTTTTCTTTTATATGATCCTGCTTTGCTGGCGATGGTAGAAACAGTGAGAGATTATAACATAGAGGAGCACAATATGATGAGAAATAGCGTGATTTTATTAGCTCACAAAAATTTCTATTTAACGAAGATAGGCAACATGCAAGATCTAACTACACATATATTTACAATACAATATTCTACCTCAAGGTTCTTTAAATGTGCTTGTGGAGTTCTATTGATAATGTTCTGTTCCTTCACAGCCAGCAGGCAAAGCCCTAAAAATATGACTGCCTATGGCTTATCCTTCCCAGTAAGACTGTTTTGAATATATTTATAAATTATGTACCCAATCACCTACCACCTTCACTTCTTTCTAAAATGAGATGTGGCATAAGAAAATATGTAAATGAGTATTTCCAACCACACTAGTCACTTTTATCTGACAGTATAAAATAGAACCAGAGAAGGTGCAGTATTAATCCTCCAGGGAATAGAAAGTGCTGGTGCTTCATGAAAGGGACAGTGAGAAATGAAATAGTATCACAAAGTTTGAAAGTGCCTCACCTTACTAATTTTTACTGGTCATTTTCTTAGTCCTATTACCAAATGTGTAATTAAAGAAAGGAGCTAATTTAAATTCTTGGAGAAAAAATTTCAGACTGTCAATAGTGTTCTTCCTTCCACATGGTATTTACTAAGCACTTTCCTATATGCCATGCCTCTGATAGCAGATTATAAGCATAAATAAGACAATATTCCAATTCTTAGAAGTTCCCAGTGTCACAGACAAATGAACAGATAGGAGAAATAGAACATGTGATGGAATGTTTCTGTTTACAGCTAGTGAATCCTCTATGGATTTCAGGGAGCTTTAAGGAGGAGGCCAAGCTAGAGTGTGGTCGTGAAGAATGGAGGAGTTCACCACCACTGTAAGGATTGTGGGGACGATCATTCAAAGTGAGGGGCCAGCCTCAAATAAGAGGAGTCAGGAAGAATTTGGGGGTATTTAAGAAACAATGGACTCTTCATCGTAGCTCATGCGAGAGTGTAGGCAGTTTGGAGGGGAGCTAGTTCCTGGGTTAGTAAAGATGAAAATGGATGAAATGGATGGACGGTGAGGAGCTTTGAGTTAGAAGGATTTGAACTTTATTTTGTGAACAATGAAGAGTCACTGGCTGACTTTAAATCAAATAAAAAGGGGCCTGAACTCTAACAAATGCTGAAATGTTAAGTAGAAGGCAGAGGGGGAGGTGCCAGCTAAAAGAACTTCAAATGGGGGAGGCCCAGACAAAGCACCAGGCAGGAAGCAGCCACATTTCCACCCTGTACCCTAAACCAGGCAGGCAGAGGAATGCAAGCTTTGTTAAGCACTCATCATCGGGGGTTCATAGTCCCATGCCCATAAAATGGTCCATTTTATTTTTACTGCCTTTGCTTGATTTCCTCTTTGTTAACCACTTTAGGAATTTTCTAGACATTTGCTTAGCTACTTATCAAGTTAGAATTGTATCCCGCAGTCATTTTCAATTGTGGTCACACTCTTAATAGAATTGGAAAAAGTAAAGTTACATCTTCAATATTCTGATTGGATTACAACATATATCAATAAGGTAATCTTTCTTTTAACAAATCCCCCTTAATTTGGATGATAAAAGAATCATTAAAAAAGGATCAACAAGCCAAAAGAAATGTGAATTAGATACACATGGCATTCCTAAATTACTTTAGAATGCTCAGCTTTATATAAGAGAGCATTTTTCCCACACTGCGTCTGATGAGTTTAATGCCTATTGAACACTTGAGTGCCCTTTGTTCAGAGCAGACATGACCAGGTGAGCTCTTGCGTGAGTCCCATACCTGTGCTGTCTTCATACACCACGGTCACTGTCTTCCAGTTGTAATAGAGGACCAGGTCCAGGATCGCCCTGCTGATAGCTGTGTAATCTGGGTAGAGGTTGATGTAAAATAAGTCTTTGTTGTCCACCGAGGGGTGTTTCCAGCGGGTCTGTATGTGCGGAACTTCAAGAGCATTGCAGATGGACTGCACAGCACTGACGGAGGAGCTGTGGGACGGGCCGAAGAGAGCAGCCACACCTAGAGCCAGCTGGTCACATGCTGATGTCCAGAGCAAGGAGGGGATGGAGAGGGAGTCCAGGGCAAGGGGGAGAGAAAGAGAGAGTTCTATGAATTTAATTTTTTCTTTCTTGATTCATCTGTGTGATTTAACCTTTGGAAAATCTCCTACACGCCCCATCTGTATCTGGAGGAAAGATGCTTGGTCCCACTTCCAATGTTCTTGAGATGCTAAGGTACTAATAGATGGAAATGTAGAGCTGATTATCAGTACATGACAGGGCAAACTCGTGCAAATAAAAATGAGTTGCTGGTCTCACTTCATTACCTTCAATCAGATGGAGCCTAAATGCCTTGCTTGGTGTGGCATTACCCGGGAGCATACCTAGCTAACCAAAAAGCCATTTGGCAAATGAATGTCATTTTATTTAAGTTCTGTCGCATGGCAGGGTGGCAATAAAGATATTAATGTGGTTACAGAATTCAGAAGAAAGATCCTCTGGGTGATTAAAAAGTACCATAGCTCCTGTCTTTCCAAAACTCAGAGAGGAGTTCCAGGTTATTAAAATACTGCAAAAGAAATGTTCGTAAGCAGTGCTGATACATAATTAAATATGGAATAATTGACTGGCATAGCTTGAAGGGATCTTAGAAGACATTTGGTCCAACCCACTCATTTCATAGACAGTAAAGCAAGTCATAGCCACTTTGCAGTAGCAGGAGGTCAGTCACAGCTCAGGGGCCCCTGCTTAAAGTCAAGCCTCTGTCCACCTCAGTATTAGCCAACTGGTAGCCTAATGAAAGCAAGTCAATATGTATTTAAAAATGTATTTATAACATAAATTTATTTTTCTCATTTTAAGAGTAAATATACTTATAGAGAATTTATAATACTCAAAATATAAGGAAGAAGAAAAGGCCCTGTCATTAGTCCCATTGTCTTGGAATAATATCTATTAATATTTTGGAAAATCAGAATCAGTATATAACAACATTTTGATATGTTGCTTTCTTCACTTAACATTATAGCATGCCTTTTCCCCAAGTCATTACAAATTCTTCAAAAGTATATGTTTAGTGTCTGTAAAATAGCCATTCCATGGGTTTCTCATAATTTGTTTAACCATTCCTATAATATTAAACATGTAAACTGCTCCTAATTTGGGGCTATTATAAGTAATCTTATATTACTTATCTTAGTTCTCATATTTTTTTCTGCATCTTAGGTTAATTTCTTAGAATAGATTTCCAAAGGTTGGGTTAGCAGCTATAATTAAAGGGTATTGATATTTTTAAGTTATTTGATACATGATAATATTGACCAAATTCCCTTCCAGAAAGGTTGGGGCAGTTCATTCACATAAAATAGTGCCTATTAATCTTATGCTGATAGGCATTAAGTATTAATGTAAGTTTAAACACATTTTCATATTTATATTTTATTTCTATTTTAAAGGAATTTAGAACTTCCAAGAGAAAATAATTGAATTTCAGAAATAAACAATAGCTAAATGTATACATGAAATGGTGATTTTTATAATAATATCATTCTACAAATAAAAATAAGTAGAAAAACTATAATGGCTCTGTAAAATTATCTGACTTGATACAGAAAGAATAGATGATAAAATTTCCATAGACATATTGCAGATATCTAAGGGCCAGCAACAGTTCATAGTCATTTACAAGGAAAACTTTCTGATACTGTGCTCCTTAGCACTGAATTACTACATCAACTATGAAGATGTATCATTTTCTGCATTAAGTGCTGCAAGTGCAAATTGTCATTGCCTTCTGCAGCTTGTTTTCTGGATATGTTTTTATTAGTTAGCCATATAAATAAGAACGTGAGAGTAGCTGAATTGTTCTGTCATGTGCATGAGCAATGGATTGAGATTCTTGCTAATATTTAGCTCTGGGATGCTAATATTACTTGACAGAAGATCAATCCTTTTGATATTTGTTTGCCAGCAAATTACCAGTTTTAAGTAGCTTTGGGGGTGTTTAATTTACAAGTATGGCAGGTACTTCAGATCACAAGAAAGCTTTCAATTTTTATGTGGGTTGGAGTTTCATAGCTAAATGTGGTTGGTTTTCTACAGTATTTACTCAACAATATGTATGTGTCTTTGTGTGTGTGCGTGTGTGTGGGTGTGAGAGAGAAAGAGAGACAGAGAGAGAGACAGAGACAGAGAGAAAGAGAGAGAGAGAACTGATAGATTTATTTCTACATTATAGTGATAATTTATGTGAAGATGCCTTATAACTTTAAAATACTGTATAAATATAAGATTTTATTATTTGTTCACAGATGACTTTAACCTATGTGGTATCTCTATCTCTAGCCATCTTGAAAAACAAAATATTCTTATGCTAAAGTTATGACATATATGTATTATTTTAAAAAATTGTTATATCATTTTTTTATCTGTGCTCCTAAGGAAAGAAGTTTGATATCCTGTTTGTAAAGAACACTAGAATTCTTACAGAAGACTGTATTAGGCAGACACATCCTATGATCTAACTAGGTTGATTTTATGTGGAAGCAACCAGTATTTAGTTATACGGAAATCAGCATAAACATGGTGTTCATTGCATTCCATTTATTTGTGTATTTTTATTAATAATAAGGAATTTCTCTATGAGGAAAAGAATCCCTTCTATTCTGAGATGATGAGTAGCCTTTGTTTCCACACAAACACTTTTACGTAGTGACTAGATAGTTCCTTGTTAGGGGCCAACCGTCATGTATATGGAATGCGATCTTATCTCAATGAGTCATTCTAAAAGTGTCTGGGGATGTTCAAACAAGCCCCATGATTCCAAACGAATCTTTCTATGACAGAAACCTTGCAGCCTCCTTACAAATTAGATTGCTTTCTAGGCATTTGTCTTCTATTCAGAAGAAAAGGAGAATCAAAGGCTGACATTGTTCTCACAGGTTTAATCCTCATATATCTATGATTTTGTGGAAAGGGGTTTTAAAAAAAAAGTTGAGGAGATACTAGGTAAACCCAATAGTTTACAACCTGTTAAAATTCAGGGTGTGAGTTATGTGTGTCTTGGGCTTTTCCACATGCTCACTGGATGTGACCTTCCACAGTGTTTTATTTGACTGCACTGCACAATTTCATGGTGGTATCTCAGCTTCAGGAAGGAAAAACAGATCAAGCCTGACATTTTCCATTCGCAGCTGAACCGGTTAATCATAGAGTGGAGGGCACTGAAGGGTAAGCTAATCAGAAAGGCCCAGAAAACAGTGCTCGGCGGCATCTATTAGGTTAGTTCAGATTGCATTGATCGGTGACATCAAAGACCGAGATTTCCTACAACCCGTTTGCACAAAGGTGTCCACTTTGAAAAAGGGCAGGTGGTGGAAAGAAGGTGACTTGTAGGGCAGAAATATCACCCAAAGGAGCTCTTAAAAGTGGGAAAATGCTTACCTCTCCGTGAGGCTTCAAAACTATCAAAAAGGTTAATTCTCTGGATGTCATAGGTTAATGTGGTGTTAGGCATCAGGGTTCGGTTTCTGTTAATGCTGGTGACTGCAAACTTGAATGCTAATTCTTCGACATTAACAGGTTCATTTTCCACAGTTTCAAAAATCCCTCCTGCAGAAGCAAAAGAGATGCATGAGAAGCGTTGGTCACATGATTCGCACGTAATTTTAAAAAAAGAGGAATGTAAACTATACAAACAAAAGACCCCAAATGGAGGTCTTAGATGGAGGCATATTTGGAACAAATCCCAAATGAGTGCTAAAAGTTAAGTTTATTAGCATGTGTCACATGCAAACAAAGAGGTATAACTGCATGTGTATGCTTAAGATTTTAAATCCAATGCTGTACTGTATATTATCTCTCTGATGGCATAGGTATTATACCAAATACTTAGTAGCAAGAAAGTATAACTGATAATATGGTAAAGAGTGATTTTCTGTGGGCTGGACAAGAATCACACTGTGCTTGACCTAAACATAATTTAAGCTGTATCTTGGTAGGATCATCCTTCTTCAGAACAAAGATCTTTCTATTCAGAAGCAGACATTCTGAACTCTGAATGGATCATGCAAGAGTAGAGTATGGTCAAAATGGGACATATGTACTCATAGATTTTTCAGAATAAAAACATCTTTTTAGTGCTTTGTGTGGCTCAGAATTCTAGGGTCATATTCTAATACTTTCTAAAGTGCATGGGAAGGTTCAAAGAACTCTTCTTTTCTTTTCTTTTCTTTTCTTTTCTTTTCTTTTCTTTTCTTTTCTTTTCTTTTCTTTTCTTTTCTTTTCTTTTCTTTTCTCTTCTCTTCTCTTCTCTTTTCTTTTTATAGAGAAACTGTTTGGGCCTACCCAAAAACAAACCTGCATCCCATTTCTGGAGACAAAATGTTTCTCCACTGAACAAGTATATATGTATGAGGCTCAGATATCTTAAACATGAGGATCTCACTACAAGCAACCATACAAAATATTAGTGCTTAAAGCCTCATCAGAGAATTCAGCTCTGATTTTTCTTGAGACATTGATCTTTGATACAGATAATGTACATATTGTTAACTATACATTCTTAATGTTTTTTGGGAGACGTCCTAGAATTATCAGTAGACGTAGGGCATGTAGTACAAGCTCTCTTAACTCATGTCCACTTAATTTACTCCTTAATTGACCAATATTCCTCATTTCCCTTTGGAACTACGTGTCACCTGATGGCCATAGAATGCAGAATGCTTGTAACTTGCAAGCTGCTATTTATCTACTTGCACCTGTGAGTGATTCCTTACCAAAAATCAGCTGTAGAGTTTTTTTTTTTTCCCTCCCCGAACTTGTCTATGCTAGATTGATTTGAAAGTGCTTTGAGTTCTCTCTCCGCTCAGGAAAGAAAAAAGAAGAATATAAAAGGAAAAATGAAAATCAAAGGAAGCATCATGGGTATCATTTACATACATTCTTTGTTAGAAGGGGGCAGACTTTAATTCAAAGAAATTACCTTGATCCTACTTTGAAAGAATAATAATCAAATTCATATCTATAATTTTCCTGCTAGACTATCTCTATTAAATAACTAAATCCAGTGTCAGATTGTGAAAGCTAAGAAAGGTTAGATAGAACTATTTTGGCTCATTTTGCAAATATTTCTGCTTTTCCCAGACAGTTGATTTGAGGTATTCATGTATAGTTCATTTCCCTGTGTTCTGAGGAAACATAGCTGAAAACCATATGACATTGTTATGTGATCATGTTAACCCTGGCCTAAGGATCAATATTGGATATTTATTCTGAAATAAATGCTAGGAAAACTGTTGCTCTTCATATGAATGTGTGTTTTTCTTTTGGGGTGGATTTTTAATTTCTTTCAGAACTGTTAGTGGATACTCCACAGTGAGGTGGGAAGCTCGCACACTAGACACCTGGTCATGACAGAACAGATGTAGGGTAGGCTGACTGCCACGGTCTAGGTGACCCACACAGAAGGCTGTTCAGTGTTAGAGCTTCCACCATAATTATTAGCAATTATTTCGTTTTTTGTCTATTTCCCCATCTCTACAGGGAAAGCCCTCATGTAGAGAGACTGTCTTGTTCAGAACCACCATTTACATGGAGACCACAACATCTTAAGACATTCAGACTGCAACTGTTTAGGGAGAAAGTCATTTACTGTCTTGGATGTGAACATCGTCAATCTGTATAGTGTAGGCTGGTAGGAGGGAACAAACACCTAAATAAGAAGCAGATGTTCTGAATTTTGGACCTTGTTTGACCTACTTCATCTCTAACAAGGATTTTTAAGCATCAGAAGGAACGTTATTATGAAACAGCTCTTTTACATATATTTCATTTACACCTTGTAACATTCAAAGTAGGAGGCATTTTGCCTGTTTTTATAACAGAAAAAGTAGATGGGGAGATTACACATTTTACCCAGCTTATTCAAAGACACAAAGCCTTGCCTGTGACAAACTCAGATGTCGGATTTTCCAAACAATCTATATGTTTTCACTTTGTTATTTCTATTGTTCTTCATCTCTTCCTTGTTTACCTTGGAGGATTATTCTGTAAAGCCTATAATGCAAAGTGCCCTAGAAACTCAATCGTCCCCCAGAAATAGGTTGGTATTATTAAACATGGAGAGAGGAAATAAAAAGAGAAATTGGCACCAACGGTAGAACTTCCCACTCTTCTCAAACTTGTTCCTTGGGTATAAAGCTGTCTCTTACATGAAGCTGAATGTACCTGGGTTTTAGAGAATTATAAGTGTTTTTATTATGCGCTTAGCTAGTGTGTAGGTGAAGTAATCTGTGTTGTCATTTTGGGAGCAATTTTCCTTCATTCCTTCATGACACAGGCATTACAAATGACATCATTATCTCCACACCCCACCACACTCTCCTTCTCTCTTAGAGAGGGTTGCTGATAAGTATCAAAAACCGACGGTGATGTGAGGTATATAGAGAGCTGAAGAAGTACCATGAAAGTGAGAACCAGTAGAAACAGGAGTCATTTATTGACAGAGGCCAGACCAATACTTTACATGTGGGCAGACTGTTTTAAGGATTGGCCACTTCCTCTCTCCTTCTCCTGCCCGTGGCTTCAGATTTGCTAGAACTGGGATGTGGACTCTTTGATAAGAGGAGAAAAGAGACACATATCTAGGGACACTTGCATGCTTCATTCATACATTCATTCCTCTACTTCTTTCTTCCTCTTTTTTTTTTTCTCTCTTTGTTTCTTTCCTTTTTTTTCTCTTTCTTTTTTTGAGATTTGTGAGTATGGATTGTTAATGAAACATTTTAAACCCTTGGGTGTCTTCATGCAGTGGACTTCTGGCTTCAGCCATTTGGATGCCCAGGGACATGCTGATTCAGGAGGAGGGATCCCTACCTTGTTCATCCCTCTGTCCTTCCTCCTGCTTGCTCTTGCACATCCTCTTTCTCCCCTTCTTTCCCTGCTTCTCCTGAGGTCAATGCACCTCTCTGTCTTTCTCCATCTCTCTCCCCTCTGATTTGAGCTGAGCAGAGCATGAGTTCTACTCCTAAAAATGCAGTGGGCCATGGAAGTATTAAGAAATGCAAAACTAAAAAAAACTAGTTTAGAATGAAAGGACAGAGGAAAAGCTTCTCCTCCCTTTATTTTTTTCTAAATTTCCTGGGCCAGGGCTGTGCGTGAGGGAAGAAGGCAAGACTTTGAGAGTTCAGGATGAAGAATAAGTTTTTTCTTTCTGCTGTAACTCTTGAGAAGGAGGACATGATACATACAACACAGGAGGGTGAGAAACCTCAAAATGTGCAGGCCTTGGGTTTCCATGTTCTCTTTGTCACTTAGAGTCACACCTCACATATACCTGAAGCATGAAAAGTATTGATAAACTATGTTTTATCTTTTGTACGTTGTGGATCAGGTTGAGTGAGTACAGATCATCCACCAGTCCTTTTAAGACTGGAAATGGTTGGGCTACTATCCTCTGCCTTGTCTCCATTAGGGAGCTTGAACAAGGGTCAAAGGGCATCCTTAATATACACCTCCCCTGCTTCCTCTTCTCCACCTCACCCACCATTGTCCAAGCAAATGGTCAGAAAGTGGAAGAAATTGTCGTGTTATTTTTTTTTTTAATCACACTCTGACTTCCTATGTGAATATTTGTGCCATTTAAAATGATAAAAGTAAAACCATGTTTCCTGTAAACATGAAAATAAATATGAGTTCTGAAAAATAGATGCTTTTTTTTTTCCTTAATAAAAGTGCACATTTAAACCATTTAGGCTTTACTTTCGAGGGCCTGTGGGTTTCTTGTTTTGGTTTTACCCACTGTACTTTGGTGGGAAGGGCAGATGGTATAAATAAGGCTAATGCTAAAAGGATCTGTCCTTTATACTCTGTGTTCCTTCACCTGAGAAATGGCACCACACAGTCACTAAACAAAGGGTAAGACACAGTAAGGTGTGTGCCCTTACTATGGGGTAGTTTTGAAACTCAAAAGTAACTTTGTTTTGTGAGTCATTGTTGTGGGCTGAGTTGTGTGCCCTCACACTTACATGTGGTAGGCCCGGTCCCTGATTCTATAGAATGTGACCATATTTGGAAATAGGGCCTTTAAAGCAGTATGACGTCAAAGGAGGCTGTTAGAGTGGGCCCTAATCCAATCTGACTGGTGCCCCTGTAAGAATAGGAAATTTGTACACAAAGGTACATGAGGAATATGCATCCACAGAGGAAAGATCATGTGAGACCATCTGCAAGCTGAGGAGAGAAGCCTCAGGAGAAACCAAACCTGCTGGTACCTTGATTTTGGACTTCTAGCCTCAAGAACTATGAGAAAACAAACCACTCAGTCTGTGGAATTTTATTATGGCAGCCCTAGTAGACTAACACATTCATCATTTCTTTTTCTTTTTTATTCCAATGGCTTTGAAATTGAAAATGGGACACTTTTAATGGAAATCACATCTAAGCAAAAAATATTCTCTTCTAACAAGATTCTGACTTTATGGCACAATAATTTTAGATAAGCAGAGAGAAACTCATTTGAAGTCTCAGTTTAGGCAGCGTTTCTTTCTCTCGGTTGAGTCCTGTACCCGTGAGGCCAAGCAAGGACACAGGTAGCTGGCACATGGACACAG